GTTTTTATTTCAAAACGTCATGATGCTGAGGGAGCAGAAATATTATTTCTGCCTGTGACCCTCCCCCCTCAACACAGAAAGATTTCCTTATTCGGTGACACCAGGACAAGAAATGAGGGGAACGGTTGTCACCAGGACAGGAACTGAAAAGCAGCAAATATTGCGCCCAACTATTTAAAAAAAAAAAAAAAAAAAAAAAAAAGTAAGTAGGGATCAACCTTCCCAATAGGGACTATCCAAAATAAAATTGGCAGTTTTTTTAGCCGCCATCAGCAGTTAAAATTCAACGCAAGTCTAACTTTATTGCACCAGAGCGCCCGCCCCCTGCCCTGGGAAGACCAATATCCAAAAGAGGAGGCGGTCCCAGGACAATAAAGTGATCCCAGCACCGCATCCTAACAGCGGTTCGTCTTCTCGGATTCAGTGGCAGTTGCGGGTGTAGGATGGGCCCCTGCCTGGCTGTGAGCACCCGGGTCTGCCCGTGTTTCTTTGCCGAGTTTTGGGCGGAGTCGGACTTTCAGGTACATAAAACACTTGCAGGGGGTTAATTACTGACCAATCCTGAGAGAGAAGAGAAAGAAGCGCAGCAGCTTACTGACCAAAGGAATGATTAATGACCTCAAACAGGGCGAAGTAGTTGGCGGTGATGCCATCCATTCCGATCTTGGCGGCGAGGGCCTGCGGGAAGAGAGGGGTGTGATGGTCACCCTATACCAAGAGACAGACTCCTCCCACCCACCCCCCATAATGGTGGTCACCCCGTACCTGGACACTCCCTTTAATTAGGCGACCTCATACCTGGCTGTACAAAGAATCAAGCCCCTCCCTCCAATAGGAGGGTCTGCCTATATCTGGACAGGGTCCTCTCCTTCTCCAACCAATTAAAGGGTCACCCCATACCTGGATACAAATGGAAGCCCCTCCCCCCATAAGAGGCTCATCCAATAACTGGGCAGAAAAAGAAGCCCCTCCCCACAAAATAGGGTCACACCACTCCTGGGCAGAAAAAGAAGCCCCTCCCCCAATAAGAGGGTCACTATACCTAGAGAAAGAAGCCCCTCCCCACCCAGAGAGCCACACTATACCTGCACAGAGACGGAAAGCCCCTCCCCCCAATTAAAGGGTCGCTCCATACCTGGACCCAGAAGCCCCTTCTTCCCCCAATAAGTAGGTTACCTCATACCTGGATGCAGAAAGACAGAAGCCCCTCCCTCAAAAAAAAAGGGAGGATTCCTGGAAAGAGATGGAGGACACCTCCTCCACCTCCCCCCCCCCCCCATGCAATAAGAGGGTTGTCCTATACCTGGACACAGGTGGAAGTCCCTCCCCCCAATTAGGAGATCCTCCATTACTGGACACAGGTGGAAGCCCCTCCCCCCAATTACAATTAGGGGATCTCCCATTACTGGACACAGGTGGAAGCCACTCCCCCAAGAATGGGGTCCCCCACTACTGGACACAGGTGGAAGCCACTCCCCCAATACCTGGGGACAGGTGGGAGCCCCTCCCCCCAGTAAGGGGGTCCCCATTATTGGACACAAGTGAAAGCCCCTCCCAATACCTGGGCACAGGTGGAAGTCCCTCCCCCCAAATAAGGGAGTCCCCCACTACTGGACACAGGTGGAAGCCCCTCCCCCCATACCTGGACACAGATGGAAGCACCTCCCCCAATAAGGGGATCTGCCATTACTGGACATGTGGGAGCCCTTCCCCCAATAAAGGGGTCCCCATTACTAGACACAGGTGAAAGCCCCTCCCAATACCTGGGCACAAGTGGGAGCCCCTCCCCCCCATACCTGGACACAGGTGGAATCCCCTCAACCCAATAAGATGTTGGCCCCATACCTGGCTACAGATGGAAGCCCTCCCTGTCTCTAATCAGAGGGCTCCCCTATACCTGGGCAGAGAAAGAAACCCCTCCCCCCCAATAAGAGGGTCACCCCATACCTGGAAGCCCCTCCCCTAGTAAGAGGGTAACCCCATACCTAGACACAAATAGCCCTTCCCCTCCAATAAGAGGTCACCTTAGGCCTGAATATGGAGAAAAGCCCCTCCCCTCTCAATAACAGGGTCACCCCTTACCAGAGCTAGACCCCCCTGGCCAATAAGGAGGGTCACCCTGTGTCTGGACTCAGAATCCCCCCAATAAAAGGGTGCACCTGGACTCAGAAGCCCCTCCCCTCCATAAGGCGCCCCCCCATACCTGGTACACCTGGTCGGTGGTGCTGTTCTTCTTCACGCGGACAGTGGCGGTGGTCTTGTCCGGTAATGCTATGCGGAGCTCCACATCGGACACGCCGTTGTAATTCTGTGGGTGGAGTCAGAGAGATCACATGATGACATCACCAAAATTTTACAGACCAATGGCATTAAAGCCATCTGCAGCTCTCCATCCCTGGTGATCCCGCCATTGAGGGATCTGTTCAGGCACTTCCTGCTGTAGGGTGACAACACTTTCTCCATTCTGCTCAAATTTTCCCCTGCGTTGTCACCCCATCACACAGGCTCCCTCTCGAGAACTACAAGTGGCGGTTTGCACAGGCATAGTCCCACCAGTGTGTGTGGGGGGGGGGGGGGTGACCCGCCACTAGAAATGCCATGCAGCCATCACTGTAGACAGGAAGTGCTGAAAAAAAAAAAAAAAGATGGCGGGAAATCAGCACCACTGAGAGGTGACAACGGATAGGGAAAAAAAAAACAAAAAAAACTTTATTGGATAAAGAATGGACAACTGTCTATAATGCACAGTGAGAGGACAGGAGAAAAAAAACTTGAAAAAAAAAAACTTTATTGAATAAAGACAGGAGAGGGCGGCCTTACCTCGTCCGACTCGGACAGGAACTCCTGCATGATGTCACTCTCCCCGATCACCCGTATGGAGCACACTGCGCCAAAGACAGAAACACGCATCAGGATCATCAGTCCCATTACAAGGACCACACTCCCTGGAGGGGCCCCGGGTCCTCTACTCTCCCATCAACGCAAATAAAAAGAATGCCGCAAGAGGAGCGAGACTCCCCATAGTGCCTGCGGCAGATGTGTGGAGATGGGGGACGGGGTAGAGTCATGCCACTAAGACAGGTGTCACACCTCCCACTTGGGTGGGGGGGCATGTGTGGAGCTGGGGGACTCCCCCCACCCCACTGGGAGGATGGGAGGTACTGGGGAGGACGGGCCTTGTGTGGAGCTGGGGGACTCCCCCCCCCCCCCTGGGGAGGATGGGAGGTACTGGGGAGGACGGGCCTTGTGTGGAGCTGGGGGACTCCCCCCACCCCCCTGGGGAGGATGGGAGGTACTGGGGAGGACGGGCCTTGTGTGGAGCTGGGGGACTCCCCCCACCCCCCCCTGGGGAGGATGGGCGATACTGGGGAGGACGGGCCTTGTGTGGAGCTGGGGGACTCCTCCCACCCCCCCCTGGGGAGGATGGAGGTACTGGGGAGGACGGGCCTTGTGTGGAGCTGGGGGACTCCCCCCACCCCCCTGGGGAGGACAGGCGGTACTCCCCCCACCCCACTGGGGGGTACCCCCACTGGGGAGGACGGGCCATGTGTGGAGCTATGGGACTTCCCCCACCCCCCTGGGGAGCATGGGAGGTACTGGGGAGGATGGGCAGTACTCCCACCCCCACCGGGGAGGACCAGCAGTACCCCCCACCCCCCCCCCAGGGAGGACCGGCAGTACCCCCACCCCCCCCGGGGAGGACCGGCAGTACCCCCACCCCCCCGGGGAGGACCGGCAGTACCCCCACCCCCCCCCGGGGAGGACCGGCAGTACCCCCACCCCCCCCGGGGAGGACCGGCAGTACCCCCCCCCCCCCCGGGGAGGACCGGCAGTACCCCCCACCCCCCCCGGGGAGGACCGGCAGTACCCCCACCCCCCCCGGGGAGGACCGGCAGTACCCCCACCCCCCCCGGGGAGGACCGGCAGTACCCCCACCCCCCCGGGGAGGACCGGCAGTACCCCCACCCCCCCCGGGGAGGACCGGCAGTACTCCCCTTGATCTTGGGAGTACAGGAGGGTGCTGCCTGCCCTGCACCCCAACAATGACTGCGCCCCCCATCACCACACCCAGGACAAGTAATAGAAAGAGGAAAGTTTACAGTTGTCACAGGCACAGGAGGTGAGGGGAAATCCTCCAATGGGGACACCCGTCACACTGGGATTTGCCTTCTCCTTGGAAAGATTTTCTCCCACTTCCTGTTGCCTCTCTCTGACAGGATACAGACTGGAATCTTGCCCCGAGGGGCCACAATAAAGGTTGCAGGCCCAGGAACAGGCGAGCGAGCGCACAACTGACAGGATTGGATACCTTTCTCCAGGTATTCCTCTAAGCCCCTCCTCCTGGCGTCCAGCTGCTGCTCAGACAGGGAGAAGGGCCACTTGCCCGGTAGCCGGGGAAAGGTGAAGTTTGCAAACTCCCGCTTGAGGTTCTGGTTCAGGATGGCGAATTCCCGGTACCGCTTGGAGCACAGCTGCCTGCCGGCCATGTAGACGTTATAAACCTGAAACCAAAAAACAGAAACCGCGGTGTCACCGCCCACCCGGAACATTCTAGACAAACCATGTGACCTGGTCACCTCCGGCCTCCTAACCCTGCCTCCCCCACCCAACTACAGCGACCTGGTCACCTCCGGCCTCCTGACCCTGCCTCCCCCACCCAACTACAGCGACCTGGTCACCTCCGGCCTCCTAACCCTGCCTCCCCCACCCAACTACAGCGACCTGGTCACCTCCCCACCCTCCTGACCCCTACCTCCCCCACCCAACTACAGTGACCTGGTCACCTCCACCCTCCTGACCCTGCCTCCCCCACCCAACTACAGCGACCTGGTCACCTCCGGCCTCCTGACCCTGCCTCCCCCACCCAACTACAGCGACCTGGTCACCTCCGGCCTCCTGACCCTACCTCCCCCACCCAACTACAGCGACCTGGTCACCTCCGGCCTCCTAACCCTGCCTCCCCCACCCAACTACAGCGACCTGGTCACCTCCGGCCTCCTAACCCTGCCTCCCCCACCCAACTACAGCGACCTGGTCACCTCCGGCCTCCTAACCCTACCTCCCCCACCCAACTACAGCGACCTGGTCACCTCCGTCCTCCTGACCCTACCTCCCCCACCCAACTACAGTGACCTGGTCACCTCCGTCCTCCTGACCCTCAATCCCCCACCCAACTACAGTGACCTGGTCACCTCCGTCCTCCTGACCCTACCTCCCCCTCCCAACTACAGTGACCTGGTCACCTCCATCCCCCTCCTGACCCTACCTCCACCTCCCAACTACAGCGACCTGGTCACCTCCACCCTCCTGATCCTACCTCCACCTACCAACTACAGCACCCTGGTCCCCTCCGGCCTCCTGACCCTACCTCCGCCACCCAACTACAGTGACCTGGTCACCTCCGGCCTCCTGACCCTACCTCCACCACCCAACTACAGCGACCTGGTCACCTCCGGCCTCCTGACCCTACCTCCGCCACCCAACTACAGCGACCTGGTCACCTCCATCCTCCTGACCCTAACTCCGCCTCCCCACTATAGCGACCTGGTCACCTCCATCCTCCTGACCCTAACTCCGCCTCCCCACTACAGCGACCTAGTCACCTCCATCCTCCTCCCCCTAACTCCGCCTCCCCACTACAGCAACCTGGTCACCTCCGCCTCCTGACCCTACCTCCGCCACCCAACCACAGTGACCTGGTCACCTCCATCCTCCTGACCCTAACTCCGCCTCCCCACTACAGCGACCTGGTCACCGCCGTCCTCCTGACCCTACCTCCACCACCCAACTACAGCACCCTGGTCACCTCTGGCCTCCTGACCCTACCTCCGCCTACCAACTACAGCGACCTTGTCACCTCCGGCCTCCTGACCCTACCTCCGCCTACCAACTACAGCACCCTGGTCCCCTCCGGCCTCCTGACCCTACCTCCGCCACCCAACTACAGTGACCTGGTCACCTCCATCCTCCTCCCCCTAACTCCGCCTCCCCACTACAGCGACCTGGTCACCTCCATCCTCCTGACCCTAACTCCGCCTCCCCACTACAGCGACCTGGTCACCTCCATCCTCCTGACCCTAACTCCGCCTCCCCACTACAGCGACCTGGTCACCTCCATCCTCCTGACCCTAACTCCGCCTCCCCACTACAGCGACCTGGTCACCTCCGGCCTCCTAACCCTAACTCCGCCTCCCCACTACAGCGACCTGGTCACCTCCGGCCTCCTAACCCTAACTCCGCCTCCCCACTACAGCGACCTGGTCACCTCCGGCCTCCTAACCCTAACTCCGCCTCCCCACTACAGCGACCTGGTCACCTCCGGCCTCCTAACCCTAACTCCGCCTCCCCACTACAGCGACCTGGTCACCTCCGGCCTCCTAACCCTAACTCCGCCTCCCCACTACAGCGACCTGGTCACCTCCGGCCTCCTAACCCTACTCTTCACCACCCAACTACAGCGACCTGGTCACCTCCGGCCTCCTAACCCTACCTTCACCACCCAACTACAGTGACCTGGTCCCCTCCAACCAGTAAAATCTCCCCTATAACCCCCCCCCCCCCCCCCCCCACGGCTCACCACAAACTTCTCCCCGTTCTGCTCCACATGCTTGTAGGTGGGGATGGAGATGGGCACGGCCTGCTTCTCTGTGTAGTCGTAGAAGGACTGTCCTGAGGAGTCATCGCTGGGGTCCAGGTTCTCGGCTTCGTGTGGCGGTACGGACAGAACGGTGAGGACCAACTCCTTCTCCCCGGCACGGATCAGATCCACCACTTGTTTGTGGGTGGCCCCTTCCACATTGACGCCGTTCCTGGATTGGTGGAGAGACAGAGGGGGCGGGGTTTATATATGGAACCAACTGATAGGACAGAGGAGGTCTCAGTCTATAGAACCATTTACATTCTACACCAACTACCAAAAAACTCCGGGGGGGGGGGGGGGGGGGGGGGGGGGGGGATTCTCGGTATCTGTCCCCATTCTGTATGTATGGACTCTGCACAGTCCCACTTCTCCTGTCCTGGATGCCGGGTGTCATTCTCGGTATCTGTCCCCATTCTGTATGTATGGGCTCTGCACAGTCCCACTTCTCCTGTCCTGGATGCCGGGTGTCATTCTCGGTATCTGTCCCCATTCTGTATGTATGGACTCTGCACAGTCCCACTTCTCCTGTCCTGGATGCCGGGTGTCATTCTCGGTATCTGTCCCATTCTGTATGTATGGACTCTGCACAGTCCCACTTCTATGCCGGGTGTCATTCTCGGTATCTGTCCCCATTCTGTATGTATGGACTCTGCACAGTCCCACTTCTCTGTCCCGGATGCCGGGTGTCATTCTCGGTATCTGTCCCCATTCTGTATGTATGGACTCTGCACAGTCCCACTTCTCCTGTCCCGGATGCCGGGTGTCATTCTCGGTATCTGTCCCCATTCTGTATGTATGGACTCTGCACAGTCCCACTTCTCCTGTCCCGGATGCCGGGTGTCATTCTCGGTATCTCCCCGTTCTGTATGTATGGACTCTGCACAGTCCCACTTCTCCTGTCCCGGATGCCGGGTGTCATTCTCGGTATCTGTCCTTATTCTGTATGTATGGACTCTGCATCAGTCCCACTTCTATGCCGGGTGCAGCTCGGAGGGGTGTGGGCTAATTTCAGGAAGTCATGTGACCGCTCAGTGACACCACGTCAGACACATGGCCTCCCTCCTCCACCAGCACTTGTGACACACAGACACCCTTCTGAAGCTCCTTAGAGGAAGAGGCCACTACGGGTCCCGAGCCCCGCACTTCCTTCCTGTGTCCGAGGGAAGTTCCGACCACAACCAGGACGTCTGATGGCTCAAGAGGGACCGTCCCCCCCCCCCCGTCCCTCCCCGAGATTGCACAACAAGTCATCACCTACATACAGAAGTCCCTGATCTCGGCAGTGATTGGACAGGGAAGACGCTCAGGATGGGTCATCAATGCCCCCCCCCCCCCCCCCCCCCTTCATGACAACCTATTTTCAATACAAAACGTAAGTCCTGGTGATGTCATCACGGGGTCTCTGTACCTCTCTATGCAATGCAGGCAGATCATGGCTGGTGGGAGGGGCCAGCTTCCTGAAACCATCCCAGCACCCCGCCTCAGCACTCCTCTAAAGAGTCCTCAGCCCTGATGCAAGCAGTGGGAGGGGTTATGCAAAATGCCTTGAAGTGCGGGTGTCAGTCTGGAGTGGGCGTTCCTAGGCAGGCTACATTTGCATAGGTAACGCCCACATGTGATGCTGAGCCTCCAAGTTTGAAGGAAATGAAATCCAATGAAAGGGGTGGGGCCAGAGACAATCGGGGCGGGGCCAGAGACAATCAGGGCGGGGAGACAATCGGGGCGGGGAGGAAAGCGCTAGATGATTCTGGACGTCCCCCAACCAGGAAATGAGGCGGGCTGATCAGTATCGCTACGCAAGTACAACCCCCTCCCCCCCACACAGTGGCATCATCCACAAAAGGCTGAGTGTATTGTGGAACTACAACTCCCAGCAAGTCCACAGCCACTGCCCAGCCAATGTCCGCACATCGAAGAATCTCTGGAAGAAAGCCTTTCCTACCGCTGAGGAACTACAACTCCCAGCAAGCCCCGCAACACGTCTGTCTAGACGACAAAAGGTACTCTAAAGAACTACAAGTGCCAGCAAGTCCAGCCACAAGACCAGCAGCCACCCAACTCCAAGGAGAATCTGTGAGAGGCTCCCTGACCACAGCAGAACCACGAGCCCCAGGAAGCCGGCCAATCACCCTGCATCCCTCCCATGTAAGAATGAGTATGGGGGGTGTGGAGGACCACGACGTGGACACTGTGGATGGAGGATGAGAAAGATGCCGTGGATAGGGGGACGTGGACGACGACGTGGACAGAGGAGGAGGAGGAGGAGGAGGAGGACGACAACGTGGACAGAGGAGGAGGAGGAGGACGACAACGTGGACGCCGTGGACAGAGGACCACGACGACGCCATGGACAGAGGACCACGACGACGCCATGGACAGAGGACCACGACGACGATGGACAGAGGACCACGACGACGCGTGGATGGACAGAGGACCACGACGACGTGGACGCCGTGGATAGGAGGAGGAGGAGGACGAGGACGACGACGTGGACGCCGTGGATAGGAGGAGGACGAGGACGTGGACGCCGTGGATAGGAGGAGGACGACGTGGACGCCGTGGATAGGAGGAGGAGGAGGAGGACGACGACGTGGATAGGAGGAGGAGGAGGAGGTGGACGCCGTGGATAGGAGGAGGAGGACGACGTGGACGCCGTGGATAGGAGGAGGAGGAGGACGACGTGGTGGATAGGAGGAGAAGGAGGACGACGTGGATAGGAGGAGGAGGAGGAGGAGGACGACGTGGACGCCGTGGATAGGAGGAGGACGACGTGGACGCCGTGGATAGGAGGAGGAGGACGACGTGGATAGGAGGAGGAGGACGACGACGTGGATAGGAGGAGGAGGACGACGACGTGGATAGGAGGAGGAGGACGACGACGTGGATAGGAGGAGGACGACGACGTGGATAGGAGGAGGACGACGACGTGGACGTGGATAGGAGGAGGACGACGACGTGGACGCCGTGGATAGGAGGAGGAGGACGACGACCGTGGATAGGAGGAGGACGACGACGTGGACGCCGTGGATAGGAGGAGGACGACGACGTGGACGCCGTGGATAGGAGGAGGACGACGACGTGGACGACGTGGACGTGGATAGGAGGAGGACGACGACGTGGACGCCGTGGATAGGAGGAGGAGGACGACGTGGACGCCGTGGATAGGAGGAGGAGGACGACGTGGACGCCGTGGATAGGAGGAGGAGGAGGACGACGTGGACGCCGTGGATAGGAGGAGGACGACGACGTGGACGACGTGGACGCCGTGGATAGGAGGAGGAGGAGGACGACGTGGACGCCGTGGATAGGAGGAGGAGGACGACGTGGAGGAGGAGGACGACGTGGACGCCGCCGTGGATAGGAGGAGGAGGACGACGTGGACGCCGTGGATAGGAGGAGGAGGACGACGTGGACGCCGTGGATAGGAGGAGGAGGACGACGTGGACGCCGTGGACGATAGGAGGAGGAGGACGACCGTGGACGCCGTGGATAGGAGGAGGAGGAGGACGACGTGGACGCCGTGGATAGGAGGAGGAGGAGGACGACGTGGACGCCATGGATAGGAGGAGGAGGAGGACGACGTGGACGCCATGGAGAGAGGAGGAGGACGACGTGGACGCCATGGACGTGGGCGCCATGGATAGGAGGAGGAGGGAGGACGACGTGGACGCCATGGATAGGAGGAGGAGGAGGACGACGTGGGGACGCCATGGGATAGGAGGACGTGGGCGCCATGGAGGAGGAGGAGGAGGACGACGTGGACGCCATGGATAGAGGAGGAGGAGGACGACGTGGACGCCATGGATAGAGGAGGAGGACGTGGACGTGGACGCCATGGATAGGAGGAGGACGACGTGGACGCCATGGATAGAGGGAGGAGGACGTGGACGCCATGGATAGGAGGAGGAGGACGACGTGGACGTGGACGCCATGGATAGGAGGGATGGGGAGGATAGAGGACGACGTGGGACGCCATGGATAGGAGGAGGACGACGTGGACGCCATGGATAGGAGGAGGACGACGTGGACGCCATGGATAGGAGGAGGACGACGTGGACGCCATGGATGGAGGAGAGGAGGAGGACGACGACGTGGGCACGCCATGGATAGGAGGAGGACGACGTGGACGCCATGGATAGGAGGAGGACGACGTGGACGCCATGGATAGGAGGAGGACGACGTGGACGCCATGGATAGAGGAGGAGGAGGACGACGTGGACGCCATGGATAGAGGAGGAGGAGGACGACGTGGACGCCATGGATAGAGGAGGACGTGGACGACCATGGATAGGAGGAGGAGGAGGAGGACGTGGACGCCATGGATAGAGGAGGAGGAGGATGACGTGGACGCCATGGATAGGAGGAGGAGGAGGATGACGTGGACGCCATGGATAGGAGGAGGAGGAGGATGACGTGGACGCCATGGATGGATAGGAGGAGGAGGAGGAGGAGGAGGACGTGGACGCCATGGATAGAGGAGGAGGAGGATGACGTGGACGCCATGGATAGAGGAGGAGGAGGATGACGTGGACGCCATGGATAGAGGAGGAGGAGGAGACGTGGACGCCATGGATAGAGGAGGAGGAGGACGTGGACGCCATGGATAGAGGATGCAATGTATAGCAGACAATGTGGACACCAAAGATAGGAGGAAGAGGAGGACGGTGGTCACCCCAAGATACTCACACCTCCAGGATGTGGTCACCCTTTCAGGAAGTACACGGTGGTCAGTTGGTATACGGCAGTGGTTACCTCCAGGATGTGGTCACTATTGCAGTCCTGGTCAGTCATATGACGGTGGGCGGTCTATTATACACTGGCAGTCCCGGGCAGTCATTAAATGGTGGCGGTCACCCTTCTGGAATACTCATCTCCAGGATGGGGTCACCCTTACCTTACGTGGCAGTCCAGGTTGGTCATTATATGGTGGTGCAGTCATCGGTACTCAGTAAGGATGGTAACCCCCTTCCAGGATCCGGTCCCTCCCCATTATACGGTGGTGGTCCTCACGCCTCCGGTAACCGGTCTTCCAGGATCCGGTCCCTCCCCCCGGTCCTCACGCCTCCGGTATCCGGTCTTCCCTCCCCCCTCCATCCAGTCCTCACATCTCCGGTCTCCCCTCCCCAGTCTCCCCTCCCTCCGATCCTCACACCTCCGGTATTCGGTCTCCCCTCCCTCCGGTCCTCATGCCTCCGGTATCCCCTCCCCCCTTGTCCCCTCCTCCGGGCCCCCTCCCCGGTAACCGTCCTCACACCTCCGGTCTCCCCCCCCGGTCCTCACACCTCCGGTCTCCCCCCGGTAACCGGTCCTCACACCTCCGGTCTCCCCGGTAACCGGTCCTCACACCTCCGGTCTCCCCGGTAACCGGTCCTCACACACCTCCGGTCTCCCCGGTAACCGGTCCTCACACCTCCGGTCTCCCCGGTAACCGGTCCTCACACCTCCGGTCTCCCCGGTAACCGGTCCTCACACCTCCGGTCTCCCCGGTAACCGGTCCTCACACCTCCGGTCTCCCCGGTAACCGGTCCTCACACCTCCGGTCTCCCCTCCCCCTTCCCGGTAACCGGTCCTCACACCTCCGGTCTCCCCTCCCCCTTCCCGGTATCCCCTCTCCCTCCCCGGTAACCGGTCCTCACACCTCCGGTCTCCCCTCCCCCTTCCCGGTATCCCCTCTCCCTCCCCGGTAACCGGTCCTCACACCTCCGGTCTCCCCTCCCCCTCTCCGGTCCTCACACCTCCAGTATCCGGCATTCCCTCCCCGGTCCTCACACTTCCGGTGTCCGGCATTCCCTCCCCGGTCCTCACACCTCCGGTATCCCCTCCCCGGTACTCACACCTCAAGTATCCGGTCCCCCTTGCGGATCCCGGCTCGGTCGGCGGCTCCCCCCGGTAGTACGGCGCTGACATGCTGTAGCGGGGCGTACAGCTCCCCGTTGATGCTCCTCAGCTGGCCGCCCTCGCTGACCTGGCCCCGCACGTTAAAGCCGTAGCCGGACTCGGACTTGACTATCCGCACCACCCGCGGGCCCCCGCTCCGCTCGTCCGCCATCTTGGCCGCATCCAGTCACGGGACCCGCACCGGGGCATGCCGGGAGATGCAGTGCGGAAGAACTGTCAGGCCGGGTGGGCGGGGCCGCGCGGCGCCGCGGCCAATCCGCTCCCGGAGGGGTGTCCGCCCCAGCCAACCGCAGCTTCGGGCCGGGTAGCCAATCGGCGCTGTGACAGCTGAGGCGGCGGCCAATCCAAACGCGGACGTTTCTTAGGGGGCGGTGGGCGGGCGAAAGGGCGGGCCGGAGGAGTCGGCGTCACGTGATGGGTCTGAGGTAAAGAGGCGGGAAAGATGAGGCGAGGGCCTGGATACCCCCCATAGGGGGCAGGAGAGGGGGGAGGGGAGGTGCAGTTATGGCGGAATCTGGAGAATATCAACACAAATGAGGTAAATTTCTAAAGATTGACAAATATTCTCTTCATGTATTGGAAACATTCTTTCTGATAATATTTTTAAAGGGATAGTTCACCTTTTACCGAAAATACTGCCTCCTCAGGTAGGGGGCGCCTGGAGGTAATAAACAAACTCTGACCGAAGCTGAATGACGCCCTTCCTATAGGTGTCGGCCATTTATGTACCTCCGGAGGCCTGACTGGAATGCTCCCAGGGCGTTGCTAGGGCGTTGCTAAGACAGGCCTAGTCATTACTGCTCCCCTCCCCCAGCACAGGGGGGCGCTCTTCCTCTGATTCCTCCCTCTCACCTACTCTTTCTCCCACCTGATACAATAGGTTGGAGCATCTGAGAGCGCCCTCTGATGGTGGAGGAGAGCAGTAATGAGCAGGCCCCTCTTAGCAACGCCCTAGCAACGTCCTGGGAGTGTCCATTCAGGCCTCAGGAGGGGTATAAATGCCTATAGGAAGGACATTGTTTGACTTCAGTCAGAGCCGGACAGTTCGTTATCTACAGACAACCCCTGAGTCTGCAGAGGCCCTTCTTGGTGAAGGTCAACCAACCCTTGAAGGATGTTCAGGAATTATCCAATCACAGGACACGGGGTGTTCAGGCAGAGTCCAATTACAGGACTGGGGGTGTGGAAGTGTTCAGGGGGAGTCAAATCACAGGACTGGGGGGGTGTGGAAGTGTTCAGGGGGAGTCAAATCACAGGACTGGGGGGTGTGGAAGTGTTCAGGGGGAGTCAAATACCAGAACTGGGGGGGGGGGGGAGGTGTTCAGGGGGAGTCCAATACAGGACTGGGGGGGGTGGTGTGGAGGTGTTCAGGGGGAGTCCAATCACAGGTCCAACTCACAGGAGGGGGTGTTCAGGGGGAGGGGGTTCAGGCAGAGTCCAATCACAGGAGGGGGGTGTTCAGGGGGAATCCAATCACAGGACAGGAGGGTTTAGGCGGAGTCCAATCACAGGGTGTCAGGGGGAGACCATCACAGGACAGGAGGTGTACAAGCAAAGTCCAATCACAGGGAGGGGGGTGTTCATGGGGAGTTTAATCACAGGAGGGGGGTGTTCATGGGGAGTCCAATCACAGGAGGGGGGTGTTCAGGGGGAGTCCAATCACAGGAGGGGGGTGTTCAGGCAGAGTCCAATCACAGGAGGGGGGTGTTCAGGGGGAGTCCAATCACAGGACAGGAGGTGTTTAGGCGGAGTCCAATCACAGGACGGGGAGGGTGTTCAGGGGGAGACCAATCACAGGACAGGAGGTGTACAGGCAGAGTCCAATCACAGGAGGGGGGTGTTCAGGGCAGAGTTTAATCACAGGAGGGGGGTGTGTACAGGGGGAGTCCAATCACAGGAGGGGGGTGTACAGGGGGAGTCCAATCACAGGAAGGGGGTGTTCAGGGGGAGTCCAATCACAGGAAGGGGGTGTTCAGGGGAGTCCAATCACAGGAAGGGGGTGTTCAGGGGGAGTCCAATCACAGGAAGGGGGTGTTCAGGGGAGTCCAATCACAGGAAGGGGGTGTTCAGGGGGAGTCCAATCACAGGACAGGAGGTGTTTAGGCGGAGTCCAATCACAGGACGGGGGTGTTCAGGGGGAGACCAATCACAGGACAGTAGGTGTACAGGCAGAGTCCAATCACAGGAGGGGTTGTTCAGGGGGAGTCCAATCACAGGAGGGGGATGTTCAGGGGGAGTCCAATCACAGGAGGGGGATGTTCAGGCAGAGTCCAATCACAGGAGGGGGGTGTCCAGGGGGAGTCCAATCACAGGGGGGGTGTTCCAGGGGAGTCCAATCACAGGAGGGGGGTGTCCAGGGGGAGTCCAATCACAGGTCAGGACATGTTGAGGCATCATCCAATTACAAGACATGGGGTATTCAGGCAGAGTCCAATCACAGGACAGGACAGGAGGTGTTCAGGTGGAGTCCAATCACAGGACAGGACGGGGGGTGTTCAGGTGGAGTCCAATCACAGGACAGGACGGGGGGTGTTCAGGGGAGTCCAATCACAGGACAGGATGGGGGGTGTTCAGGGGAGTCCAATCACAGGACAGGACAGGACGGGGGGGTTGTTCACGGGGGGGAGTCCAATCACAGGACAGGATGGGGGGGTGTTCAGGGGGAGTCCAATCACAGGACAGGACATGTTGAGGCATCATCCAATTACAAGACACGGGGTTTTCAGGCAGAGTCCAGTTGCAGGACAGGTGGCCCGCCCGACCATCACACACCTATGTGAGTGTATTGGCCATACTTTGGGTATGGGGTTGGACCCCCCTTCCCCCTATGGACATTATTACGGAGTTGCCCCCATTTTGGCTACACCATCCTCCAGTCCTCTGGGAGGACTGGATTTCGAAGGGTCTCTGTGGGAATTTGTACCCATGTGTGAGGTCAGGTGCTGATGTTGGATGAGAAGACCTGGTTCACCATCGCCATTCCAAAGGTGCTCAGTAGGGTTGAGGTCAGGGCTCTGTACAGGACGCTGGAGTTCCTGCACATCAAACTGGTCAAACTATGTCTTTATGGAGCTGGTTCCACTCTTCTGGGAATGTTTCCTTCAATTTGTACCCATTAGTGAGGGCAAGTACTGATGTTGGGCAGGTACTGATGCCAGGAAGAAGACCCGGCATGTGAACCACACGTTGGGCACCAAAAAAGACCGGGCTCACCATCAGCGTTTCAATTCATCCAGAAGGCATTCAGTAGGGTTGAGATCAGGACTCTGTGCAGGACACTCGAGTTTCTCCATGACCTCAACCCTACTGAACACCTTTGGGATGAGAAGACCTCATACCAGAGGTGTTGCGTAGGGTTAGGGGAGAGTACTGACGTTGGGTGAGAAGACCTCCTACCAAAGGTGTTGCGTAGGGTTAGGGGAGAGTACTGATGTTGGGTGAGAAGACCTCCTACCAAAGGGTTAGGGAAGAGTACTGACGTTGGCTCATACCAGAGGTGTTGCGTAGGGTTAGGGGAGAGTACTGACGTTGGGTGAGAGAAGACCTCTCCTACCAAAGGTGTTGCGTAGGGTTAGGGGAGAGTACTGATGTTGGGTGAGAAGACCTCATACCAAAGGTGTTGCGTAGGGTAAGGGGAGAGTACTGACGTTGGGTGAGAAGACCTCCTACCAAAGGGTAAGGGAAGAGTACTGATGTTGGGTGAGAAGACCTCATACCAAAGGTGTTGCGTAGGGTAAGGGGAGAGTACTGACGTTGGGTGAGAAGACCTCCTACCAAAGGGTAAGGGAAGAGTACTGATGTTGGGTGAGAAGACCTCATACCAAAGGTGTTGCGTAGGGTAAGGGGAGAGTACTGACGTTGGGTGAGAAGACCTCCTACCAAAGGTGTTGCGTAGGGTTAGGGGAGAGTACTGACGTTGGGTGAGAAGACCTCCTACCAAAGGTGTTGCGTAGGGTTAGGAGAGAGTACTGACGTTGGGTGAGAAGACCTCCTACCAAAGGTGTTGCGTAGGGTTAGGGGAGAGTACTGACGTTGGGTGAGAAGACCTCCTACCAAAGGTGTTGCGTAGGGTTAGGGGAGAGTACTGACGTTGGGTGAGAAGACCTCCTACCAAAGGTGTTGCGTAGGGTTAGGGGGAGTACTGATGTTGGGGTGAGAAGACCTCTACCAAAGGGTTAGGGGAGAGTACTGACGTTGGGTGAAGAGACCTCCTACCAAAGGTGTTGCGTAGGGTTAGGGGAGAGTACTGACGTTGGGTGAGAAGACCTCATACCAAAGGGTTAGGGTAGAGGACGTTGGGTGAGAGACCTCCTACCAAAGGTGTTGCGTAGGGTTAGAGAGTACTGATGTTGGGTGAGAAGACCTCATACCAAAGGGTTAGGGGAGAGTACTGACGTTGGGTGAGAAGACCTCATAGGGGAGAGTACAAAGAAGACCTCATACCAAAGATCTTGGAGATGCAGAACACTTGAGTTCCTCTACACCAAACTGGTCCAACCATGTCTTTATGGAGCCGGCTTTGTACACGGGGGACAGTCATGCCGGAACAGAAAAGGGTCTTCACCAAACTGTTACCACAAGGTTGGAGGAGCACAACTGTATACAATGTCTTTGTATGATGGAGTATTAGCAGGACCCTTCACTGGAGACACCTGGACTCCATCATTGAGAGGGAGGTCCACATACTCCTGGACATACAATGTAACTTCACGCTATAAGGTGTCCACCTTTCCATGTTGTGAGGTTCTTCTATTAGACGTCACATTGGTAGTCCTTTGGAACATTCCAACTTCCCGGTCATGCAGCTCTGCTTCTAAGTATGGTAGATGCACTTTGAAAGGACAACTCGGCATTTGCAGCTGCTGGAGGGTGTCCTTCTGTTGCTGTAGACCACGGGAGACCTGTGCACCTACTATATTCAAACTGACCATTCGAGAAAAAGGGTCGGGGGGTCAGGCTTGGAGACCAGTTGCCATAGCAGTAGAGAGGTTCCCACTGACCAGCAAGATGAGCATAGAAGCGGGTCACCCTGGGTGGATGATGCAGGCTCACCCGAAGTGCGGGGTCCAAGCACTAACCAGTATTCACAAGAGCTCCTGATGGTGGGGATTGGTTTTGCTGCGTTTTAGTATCAGGAGGTGAGCGAGCCGG